CCCCAAAACCCCAAAACCCCAAAACCCCAAAACCCCAACTCTAGAATCGCAGTTGAATATAAATTTAAATTTAATTAAGATAAGAGAAATGATTGATGATTTTGATTTCGAAGATGACATTGGAGATCTCCAGGACGATTCCTTTGAACCCACTGGTGGGCCAAAAGCCAGCAAACATGGACAAATCAAAGGAGAGTTTGGAGCAGGGGGTTCAAGCCAATCTGGGCTTCCACCTGTTAAGAGTAAGCAACCTGAGGTTGCATTTCCAAAAGCATCTGGAAATTTCGGAATTGATAACGATAGCGATGAGGGAGATGATTTTGGCCTGGAAGAGATTGGTAATAAAAACAAGGGTCAAGATATGAATCCTGATGGATTCAGTAAAGGCCTAGCTAATGACTACCCTATTGAAGAATCAAATATTAGCAAAAAGGATGATGATTACGATATTAATTTTGATGAGTATAACGAATCCTTTAAGGATGATGCTAGCTATTTGAACAATAATTTAAATAAGCCACCAATTCCAAAGAATGTTAATACAAACTCCGGCTTAAGTCAAGCCATTGAAAACAAAGCAAGACCAGAAAAAAATAGTGGAATTGACATTGATGGAATGAGAAGGTTAAATGATAAACTTGATAATTCTAGTGACTTTGGAGAATATGAAGATGATCTAAGTAACCTAAATATGGTAGATTCTTTACCCAAAAAGCAAGAAACACCTCTACAAAAGATAGATACACCTGTATTAAAACATGAAACTTCTCCTCGAAAGCCTGAAACTCCAATAGAATCATTTTCAACACCTCCAAGAAGAATTCCTTCGATTCCAAAACCAAGAGCACCAGTCATACCAACCCAAAACAAACCAATTACTGATAGAACTGGGCCTATTGCTGGGCCATTCCCTGAGAGCCAAAACTTACGGTTAGACACAAACGAGAGAGAAAGAATTGGCATTAAAAAGCTTATTCAAGAACCTAGCGAAGAGTCAGATTATAACTCTGATAAAGCTGAAAAAGATGCTTTCATCACTCAGCCTCTCAAAAACAATGATTCAGAAGAAGGAAGTAGGTTCAATCAGGACACAGAAAGTGTCCCTACCCAGCCAAAATTCGAAAAATCCTCAGTAACCTCTACTATCCAAGCTGTTGATGAAGATCTGGATGCCTTACATGATGAAAATGCACATCTTATATCTCAAATCACAGAATTTACCGAACAGATGGACCAGAGGATGGAACTTCTGTGGAAGGTCAAAAAGGTAGACCAACAGATAGACCGGCCCAACTCCGCTATAAACTCCAAGAAGGCAAAACTAGACGCAATGTTTAAGAAGATGAAGCTGATTAAAAATGATATCCAAAACATGAACAAAATTTTAGATAACTCCTACAGAACAGACTCGCTAGTCGACCATGAAAACAAGGAAAAAGAACAGCAAAAGATCCTTAACGAACAGAAATTGGTTCTTAAGGACCATAACAAGGTCATTAAAGAACAGCTGAAATTTATTAAAGAAGCTGAACAAGTGGAGGATGCCGATGGTAAAGCCTCCCAAGTTAACTCTACATTTGATAAATTCAAAAACCAGTTAAAAGAGATGAAGAAAAAGTTCACAGAAGATGATAAAATCCTGAGAAATCGTCATGAAGAAGTCCAGATTATGAAAGACCGCAGCAGGAAAATTAAGGATATCATCCAGGAAAAGAAGAAGATTGAAGCTGAGACAGGAGTTAAACAAGGAGTCTCAGAGGATGACATTAGCATGGTTGAAGGCAATATTGAGAAACTCGAAGCTGAAAGAAAGGATATCAGTAAGCAACACTAGCTTAATTATAGATAAACAATGGAGAAAAAGAATCCAACTTCAAGAAGACAGAGTTATACGAATGAAACATGAAAGCAACCAGATGGAGCTAAAACATAAAGAGAAGGAAAATGAATTGAGAATGATCACACTTAAGATTAAGGAACTTAAAAGAACTATCCAGAGCACTTATGTGAATAAGGCTACTGACAATGGAAGGATAGGAAGGAATAAGAGTGCTAGATCTGCCACAAACACTTCAAAAGATACCCCAAAGTCTAAATAAACAGAATTTCAGACCAAATTCATCAAAAAGAGGAGGGCTCCAGGAAGCCATCAGGCAAGAATATAAGGTTGAAGATGGAGAATTAAATGAGCCTTTACCTGAGAATACAGTAAAAGGCGTAGATTTCGGTGGTGGAAATGATTCTAGCTTCAATGATTACCAAACTGACTTTGATAGAACAATGGAGCATACAGAGCCTAAAAATCAAGGTAATCTTTTATATCTAATATTTAGTGACTTCTTCAGTTCAAATTGAAAGACAGACTTCTAAACCGATTATAATGCCTGAAGAAAAAGAATATTACTCTAAAAGGGCAAATAAGTTGATGACAGAGAGATTGAATATTTCCCAGAACACAGATAATCAGATAGATATCCAACATCAAAGCAACGATAGATACTCCAATCAGATGTCCAAGCCAAATTTGGGCCAAAGAAGCAAGCCCAATCTTGGCAAGATGATGACTAAGCCGATGTTAGGCAAGAATCAAGCTAATTAATTGCAGTGTTAAAACTATTAAATACTCTCTTTGCTCTAACTCAAAGCTCTCTTTAATAAAATCATTGATGATTTTATTCTCAATATGATCCTAGTCGAACTCGAAAAATGTATATTCAATTACTTAATGATCTTTGGGGTTTTGGGGTTTTGGGGTTTTGGGGTTTTGGGG